TTCCTTGTGTTGTCCCCGTATGGAGCTCTTCTTTCTGTTGCCTTTTAATTGATCTCGTGTCCAGTCTGCGCGATGTGTTCTGCTAATTCTGATCTTTTGGTATCCATTTTCCTGCAGAGCCTCTGATGTTCCTTGATTCGTGTGCTAATTTCTCTTTCTGTTTTGCCAATTTATTTCTGATCGCAAGCGCCGCATAGTATACAGTAAACTCCTGAGCAATCAAATTTATCTACCATTTCAAGTTGAGTCGGTAGACCTGTGAAAATTGTTGATTTCTCTTTCATGGCCCCCTGAATATTCCATTTACTCAATATTGGCCGTAGTTTTTGAGTCAGTTCGCAGGACGGTGGGCAAACTCTGGGAAAATAAGAATAGAACAAGACAATAAAAAGAAGACGCTTGGATCAAATATTTATCGCTAACCGTAGGAAAAGGGATTGCGATTAGTAAAGTTTGGGGCAAGGCGTTTCGGCAATAAAGCGAAGACGTCGCTGCATTATGTCCATTTAGAATAAACCAGTACAACTTTGGTGCCTGGCAGTCATAGGGTTGGGCAGACGGATAAGCAAACCGTCACATAAGTTCGGCTTTATGGCCAAAATGTACTAGAAATTTACTTTACATGCTGCATGCGACCAAAGATAGGCGTCCACAGTTTTCTCGGATAACATGGACTTAATCAAGGAGACGACCCGTGAAGAGAAGGTCTGATATCTGCAAGCATGGCAACTAGAGCTTAGGCGCTCTGCTTAGTGAAGCGGCAGTGTACCTGCTTCTAGGGCCTTTATAAATAGCGCCGGGAGTGGAATGCAAACAAGTGGGAAGTTGTGATAGGGCGTAAGTGGGAGAAGAGGGTAAAGAGTAGATAGATAGGCCAGGACAGAAAGAGGAGTGATAGTGTAGCCGTTTTCGGCAGAACGTTTATCGAGGGATTTGCTTCATTTGTCTCTGACGCATTCGTAGCTTGGTGCGAAGAGTGGCAAAACTCACTGATGATGCTGACTACGATGCCGGCGAGACATTTGAGAATGTACCAAGTCAACTGTCTGATGCTGGGACTCGGCAGACGACTTCGGACTAGGTGCGTTCTACATAGTCGCCCTGGCAACAAGACCAAGTTGCGACAACGAGGACTTCGGACTAGGTGCGTTCTACTAAGTCGCCCTGACAACAAGACCAAGTTTCGACAACGAGGTCAACCCATTTCTATAAACCGAAAGGAGACTGCGACCATTCCAGAGGCCACAACATCTTGGTCTTCATATCACACACTAGATAATTCAGAATATACTAACCTCTAAAGGTTAAGTTTTCCGTTTATATTAAATATGTAAAGTTCCCCAGAACAGGTTGGTTTTTTCACTTTGTCTTGTCTTGAAATTTCTCTGATGAGTCCTGCTGATTGGCAGACAAAGGCCTAAAATCTTTTCACCCGAATCAAAGTTGACCATCTCTAGATGTCAGTAACCTGGAGGCTCCGGTATGGTTAGGTCAACGAGAGCCATTCATGTTAAAATTTGTCTCATTATCTCCTGAATAAGAATTTTATATTTTTCGTATACATTTTATATAAGAATTTGCTCAACGCGATGTAAGCAGGGAATGCTGAATTTTCCCACAGTGAAATTGAATGGTATTGTAAAGCCTATCCACAACCAGGCCTTAAATCACCTTAAACGACCTAGATTGACTACTGTTTGCATTCGAGACATAAAGATAGTCTCTCGTTGACCTACTGTGGCATCAGCATGCCCTAAGCAGTATACTAAGTAGTAACCGCCTACGGACCTTATAAGACCTTATGGAAGGTGTAAAGAATAGCATATGGCCAATCGTCACTTCGAGTCATAGTATGAGGTACAGAAGTTTAAAGGCTGATTTTGATAGAAGAGGGCTACAGCTTCCCTTCAGTCTTCGCTGATCAAACCCAATTGGTACCTTCAAAATGTAAGTATCTCGAGACAGCCTACTCCTGCGTGTATACAACCCTCTGGGATTGTTTGCGTATTTGTTACAAGTGACCTAGGGTGAGTATGATTTTCACTCAAGACTTGTTGATAGTTTTGAAATTTACTCGCAGGGAAAATTTCTTCGGTTCTGGCTGTTTTCACACTCCAGGTGGTCAGTCTTAGCGGCTATTTGTCTCGAGGTCAGCTCCATCATCAGTACAGCTTGAGGCAATATTGCTCACTTGTGACCCTTTCTGTCAAGGCCGACTGATGTCCATGGAGGCTCGACCATCATTTTTACGAAATTTTCACTTTCTTATGTATTATGGCATTTCTTAGATAAAAAACCGAGTTAGCCTATCGCCTAAGATGGTGCCAGAACTGATGGTTAAGTTACTCACAATTAAATAGGTGAAATAGGCCATTGCGTTTCTCTCTCTTTATATATATATAAATATTTATTTATTTATTTATTTATATAAATAAATAAATATATATATATATATTTATATTTATATTTATATTTATATTTATATATGTATATATATATATATGGTTTTATGAAAATTCAACTAGCCTTCCTTCATCACCTTTTACCACCTGGGGTGAATACAACTCTTAGTCAAGATCTACCCGTAGTTTCTAGAACCTCGTTCTTCTGAATATACAAACAATGAAGACCTTATAGGCGTAGCCAACACAGCATCAAACGTTTAAGGCTACCAAGAACTGGTCACAAGTGTCGCGAGCACTTTAGTAAAAGTGAGTTGACAACACCCTTGTAATTTACTGATGCAGGATTATAGCAACTAAAGCCACTAAAAAATGGCGTTATACTGACCTCCCTATTCTTGATGATCATCCTCCCCATGCACTCAGAATGAGTTGAATTAAAGACTGATTGTGTAGCTCTCTTCACAATGCCATGAGTAGGCCATATGATGCCAATGAACTTCACCTAGCCTTGCCTCCTGAAATTTATTGGCATCAGGAAGCCTACTCATCACATGGTAAGGAAAAATCAACTATTCATCTTTAATTCAATAGTTATGAGTGTTTTGGAAATATGCTTTCATCAAAAGTATGAAATAAGACGACAAAGTTAAAAGTACCGGTATAAACACAAGCCCGGATTAAGAGGACAGTAAAGTGAATCCTATCTTCGCCTCTATTAGCAACTGTATCTGGTGGCGACAATGTTGAAATACAGTTAGCGGGCACGACTTCACGCCTGTTCCTCCATCCTTTTCGTACCCACCAAGCTATATACGGGCTGGAATGATAATATCTAACACACCAATCCCAAGGACAAGAAGATGCGGGAGAAGAGCATGACAACGAACAGCACAGCCTTTTATGTTTCCGCCGCCATCCCCTGGGACAGCAGTAGCAGCTTGACCCTTAGGACAACAGGGCATCAAACGCGATGGACTCGTTACTAGCCCTATAAACAGCTGACATTGAAACTTGATAAAAGTTGTCACCTCGGTTGGATTTAGCCGCATATAACCTCGCAGGCTTGATTCTGCATGTTATCATGTCTTACGTCAGCTTGTAGTCATCTTATCCCATTAGTTGTTTCGTCTTTAAATTATTCCTATCATTTTACTTTCCCCTATCCGTTGGTACAGTCACTTTTTGTGCCAATTTTTGCTTATGTCACTCTTACAGGATTATTCCAAGTACAGTTATTTTCAATTATTGGAGAGTCATAACACGAACCAGAAACACTTTAAAGCCATCTCATTTGGGGCACATCTTAGGCCCAAGCTGAAAGGAATACCTGAAAAAGTTTGAGCTGATGTACAGCTAATGTACGAGGACACTATTTTGTTCATACAACTGGTGAGGGAATCGACCCGTCTCAAAGGCCCTTCTTGCACAGAGACTATGCCTGGCTATGAAATCTATACATGAGA